TGCTCATGAGGAACCTGTACATAGACCAAGAGGCAGTTGTTCAAAGAGAATAAGGGGACACTACAGTCTTTTAAAATCAGGAAAGGTGTATGTCAGCATTGTGTCCTTTCACCATACTTATTCATTCTGTATGCTAAGCAAATAATCTGTGAAGCTGGACTATAGAAAGAAGAATGCAGCATCAGGATTGGAGGAAGACTCATTAACCACCTGCCATATGCAGAAAACACAAATGAGCGCTGTGCTCTTGGTACACCACCAAAACTAAACTTGTTCCCATCAAGTCAATTCAGACTCATAGTGACCCTATGAGGACAGAGTGGAACTGCCCACATGTTTTTGAAGGTGTAATCTTTAGGGAAGCAGAGTGCTATAACTTTCTCCCATGGAGTGGCTGGTGGTTTCACCCACCAACCTTTTAGTTAGCAGCCAAGTACCCATCCACTTTGCTACTAGGGCTGCTGTGGTGCACCACAGATGGGTAAAATGAAAGCAACAAAACAAAATGAACTGATGAAACTAACCACAAAATGAAAGATGTTTGTTCCTATGGTATATGTATACCGTCACCCAAAAGGACTCAGTTAAGACAGAACCCAAATAAATATTATTTGCTATTTTGTGTTCTCTTGAGATCTAGCTATATCATCATTGATGTTCAATGATTATCCTCAAGTCTATACCTTCCCTTACAACACTGGCATAAACTAAAAATCTTCATCCTCTAGTTTAAATGCTGCAAATTACTATCAGAGGAAGTGAGAGATAAGTAACTTAAAAAATGATCACCTAGAGAAGAGTTTTTGAAGATGTGACATTCCCTCTCAAACACAAACTCAAAATACAGCACTCTACTCTTAACTTTCTCCTGCCAGCCCACCAAACTCCATTTTTTCTATTTTTAATTCAAACTAATCCCCTTGCAAAGTTTTCCAATTTAGGATATCCTTGTTGATAAAGAGATTCTATAAGCTAAAGTGATAATTAGCAATTTATGTCAAATTGTGAGACCATTTAAGTTAAAGAACATTAAATAAAGTGATACGAAAAATTCTTCAAATCAATTCTGATAAAAAGGAATATAATATGGTCTGTGTAATTGTTACCATCATGACTTTGTGTAAGTTTTTAAAATCCAGTATTCAAGTTTTTAAATCCATTATTGAAGACGTTCATTATTTTCTCTTGGGTAATTTGCTTGCAATGGCACTGAGCCTGTACTCTTCACTTAGAATACAGACAATTCCCAGATTACAAATGAGTTCTGTTCCTTAGTCTGTCTTTAAGTCAAATTTGTATGAATCTAACATCAGTTAGTCAAATGTTTGTTAGTATAGAGTATATAGTGTACCTTCCTATGTATAAAAAACATTAAAACTTCCAGATATACAAAAACATCCTTTACATAATAATAGTTTTAAGAAGATTTATGTGCATCACAAAGTAGAACCTATCTGTTATTACAACCATTGTATGTACCTCAAAATTTTAATATAATAGCTTTACCAGGGGCTGGTTTATAATCAAGGATTTTATGTTCAAAACCCAGAGACTGCCTGTACATATTCCCTCCTGTACATTGGCAGTGTACTAGAGGTTCTCAAACCCATAGGCCAAACATAAAGAATCAATTTCACTCAAAGGTTCTTTTGAGAGGAGAAGGGATGGGGAGGGGAAGGATTTTCACATAAAAAGCAACACAGAATGAAATAGAATGTAAAAGATGTGAGAGTTTTCAGTAAAACATGAACTGATGTTATGTTATTCTTGAGACAGGCCATGCAAGTACTGCCCCAAGACTCCTCAGGGAATGCTTTTTCTCTTTTCTGTTATTTGGGTTTACTGGAAGACTTGGGAAAACACTCCTAAAACATCACTCAATTAGCACTAGTGGTAACATTATCAGCTAACATGGGAAATTATTTTAAGTCTATATTTCCATTTGCAGTATAATAGTAAATTACATGGTATAGCTTTTCTAGACATAGTGTTTGTAACTCCCACTGGATTACTGGGTGGCACCATGCAATTCAAACTCTTGGTTGTTGAAGTTATCCACCTGGGGTATTTCTGTTGCAGCAGCACGAAGTGATCTTCTAGGAAGTACACTCTCTATCAGGTGTGGAGGATTCTAATGTTGGGATTGGTTAGTTTTGCCAGTCTGCCAGGCTTAAAATGAGTCCTTCTACAGGCAGAAAACAATCTCTCACTGCCGGCTGAGAGAGAAATGTGCTGAGAGACATGCTGCTGAGAGAGACATGCACTACTCAAAGAAAGATGCCCTGCTGAGAGAGATGCCCAGCTGAGAGACAGTGGCAGTGGAACCAAGAGGCATGAAACAGAGTGGCAGGCTTACTTGGCCCACAGAGCCAGAGGCCAGGTCGAGAGGCCAAGGGCCAGAGAGGTGTGTCTAAGTGTACAGCAGAGGGGAGACTGTTCTGACTGAAGAACTGTATCCTGAGTGTGTTAGTGAATTTGAATTGTAGCCTGTTGCTTCCCTAACAAACCCTATAATCTGTGAGTTCTGTGTGGCCACTGCAGCAAATTATTGAACTCAGCAGAGACATGGTAGGTGCTGCAGGAAGGATGGCTGGTGTCAAGGTTGGTAAGAGGGCTGGAGAGTGGCGGCATGTCTGGCCTCATAGGAGCAGGCCTTGGGCTGCTGATGGTGAATCTCACTTCCTCTTGTGAAGTTAGAGAAGGTCAGAAGATGCCGTCTCGCTGCTTCTTTAGCACCATTTAACAAATACTTACAGAGTGCCAAAATGATAAGCATTGTGCTAGATTTTGGGGATGCATCATAAATCTGCAAGACATAGGATCTCTTCCCTCAAGTGGTTAATATTTTAGCTCAGAATCATATTTATTTCATTATCACTTTTATAATATACTCTACTTCAAATGGTAAATGCAATACACTGAAATGTATTACTTAACATTAGTTTTAAAAGAAGATACCTTGATAAAATTGAGGGTAATAAATTCATAACTTATTAATATATATGTACAATATATATATATATAATTTATTTTCAGCAATAACTCCCTACTTCTCCCTCCCTTAAGAGCCTATATACTATACTCTATACTCACTGCTGTCAAATCCATTCGACTCACAGTGACTCCTCCTTGGGTTTCTAAGGCAGTATATTGCCCAATCTAACCCTAGTAACCACTAACAAATTTTGGTGTCTATGTATTGGTCTATTCTAGATATTTCATATACGTGTGATCATACAAATTTGTCCTTTTGTGTCTGGCTTATTTCACTTAGCGTAATGTTTTCAGAGTTCATCTATATCACAGCATGCATCAGAAATTCATTTCTTTTATGGCTGAATACTACTCCACTGTATATACAGGAGCCCTGGTGGCACAGTGGTTAAGTGTTTGGCTGCTAACTGAAAGTCAGGGTTCAAACCCACCACCTGCTCCTTGGAAGAAAGATGTGACAGTCTACTTCCAGGAAGATTTATAGCCTTAGGAACTCCATGGGGCACTTCTACTCTATTCTGTATGGTCACTATGATAAAGAATTGACTCCATGACAATAGGATTGGTACTATCGATCACATTTTGTTTACATATTCATCTGCTGATGGATAGGTTTCTGTTTTTTGGCTATTGTTAAACACTGATGTGTATCTGTTTGAGTCCCTGCTTTCAAGTCTCTTGGGTATATATCCAGTAGTAGAACTGCTGATCAATATGGCTGTTTAATCTTCTCAGGTACCATCAAACTGTTTTCCATACCATTTTATATTCCTCTTTAGATTCTCTTATATTAAGCTGTTTAAGCTCCTAGTCCATGTTATAAACTATTATACTATTTATAAAAAAGAAAAAAAAAGCACATTTGAAGGAAACAAAATTTTATAATCAACCATAATATAGGTATATATAGGTTATTAAAATAAATGCCAAACAACTTTAGATCTTGTTTGTAGTCATGTCTCCATCTTGAAACAAATTTACAAATTTGAAACACTTAAGTGCATTTATAAAATATTCCATCAGTAAAACTATGATGAAAAAGGAAAAAAATATAAGAACAATACATGTGTGTACATTGTACAAACTAGAAACTATCCTAGGAATATTCCCTCTGTTGAAAATGGTTTCCAACTTACAGTTATTCTACAGATATTTTTTACCCCAATGAAGACCTAGGATTCAAATAATTATTGAGTGGTAGATAAACTTTCTTCAGGAAGCCAGTCAGAAGATGTAATCTGTTTTGTCAGTATTCACTAATCTGGTTAGACGTTTAAGCTTTCATGGCCTGCTGTTTAAGCAGCTAAAGGAGCTGTATGCCATTAGTTAATCAACAGTTTCGTATTTATTCTTTCCATTGATCAAAACTAAGGAGTTACTTTTCATTTCCTAAGTAAAGGAGTAAGTCTGCATGGTAATCACTGCCAGTGTCTTTTTAAAATTCCCAAAGACCAACCTCTTAAAGAAGGAAAAATCCCACATATTGCTTTACCTGGCAGAATATGGTTCTAATATTCAAGAGAACATGAAGATGCACCATTTCATATTTATTTATGATGTGTCCCATCTGTGTTCTGAAAGAACTTGGGGTACATATTTTGTTCACCCATAAAATAATGAGGCTCATAAACCATGGGATATATTATTACATTAGGATCACAGTGTGCTGTTTTTTATGGCAACAAGTATTAACTTTTTTTTTCTTTTTTATTAAAGTGCATCCATATTAAGAGTCCAAGTTTTACTCTCATACTTGACTCGAATTTGGAACATACTATAATTTTTACTGTGTCTTTTAAAAAGTCCCACAAGTATCTGTAAATTTAGAGATAGTCTCCTCTGAAGATTATGAACAAATTGTAGATTATAAATACTTTTTTAATAAATTTCAGTAAAAAGTCTAACCATTTAAATTACAAACCCAAGAATACATCTTTATCATCAAATATTGGTAAACTATATCCATATAAACATAAACTAGGATTAACAAACTTATATTCACCTACCATACATCTTGGGGAAGATTTAAAGTTATGCTGCCTTTGATTTCATCATGGAAACACATATATCCTAAGGTAGCTAATGTTACATACAAAGTTGTAACAATTCCCATGCCAATATTCAATACTTGGGGAAAGCGTTTTGAGTCTTTCATTTGGTTTTCCAGTGGAAGAACCTAAGAAGAGAATGCATTTTTTTTTAAATGGAACACAATAGTGTAAATAACTGAAATAAATCAAAACAACCTAGAATACTAACTAACATATGCGAATTGGCCTTTCTATAGTTTATATGTAAATTTTTTTTCCTTTAAAACAACACATAAAACTGCTGAAGTATTTTTCTGTGTGCTATATATCTTTTTACACTACATATTTTTAAATTCTTGAAATAGCTCTTAGTGATTAACTTTTTCTGTCAGTTCTTTTTAAATAAGCTTTTTATTTTAGCATAATTTCAGATGTACAGAAAATTTGCAAAGACAGCATAGAGAGTTCCCTTGTGCTACTGATACAGTTTCTCCTACTGTTAATATCTTATATTACCATGCAACATGTATTAGTTACAACTAAGAACTAACACTGATATATCACTATATACTGAACTTCATACTTTATTTAGATTTCATTAGTTTTTCTACCAATGTCCTTTTTCTGTTTCAGAAATCCATCCACAATACCAAACTGATTTGGTTACCATGCCTCTCTGGTCTGTGACAGTTTTTCAGTCGTTCCTTGTTGTTCATTACTGTGACAGTTACGAAGAGTACTGGCTAGGTATTTTGTAGAGTTTGGGTTTGTCTGATAAACATCAGACTACACTGGGGTTATGATTAGACTGGGATTATGAGTTTTAGGGAAGAGTATTACTGAGGTGAAGTACCTTCTCATCACAAATGCTATCAAAATGATTTATCATTGATGATGTTAATTTTGATCACTTAAAGTACAGTTTGCTAGGTTTCATGATGTAAAGTTACCTTTCCTCCCCTTCACCATATCTATTTTTAGGAAGCAAATCACTAAATTGAACTCACTTGGGGAACTACAAGGGATTAATTAAGCTACACCACCTAGAGCAGGGAGTATCTACCTAAATTTGGAATCCTCCCCAATTTATTTATTCGTTCAATTATTTACTTACATAAGTATGGACTCATATATTTCTTTTATACTTAGGGTTATAATCAAATAATACTATGCTACTTACTTTGTGGAAGCTCTGATGGCGTAGTGCCTAAGGCACTTGACTGCTAACCGGAAGGCTGGCAGTTCAAACCCACCAGCCACTCCTCAGAAGGAAGATTGAGCAATCTACTTCTGTAGAGATACTGTCTCAGAAACCCAAGGAGGGGTCATTATGAGTCAAATTGACTTCATGGCAGTGAGTCTGGTTTTTTGGTTTTATTTACTTTGTGCTCATTTGGTTCCAGCTTTGGCCACTGTGAATTCTATCAGCTTGGCTCCTGTGTTCCTTTGACATGTCTCCATTCTTTTGGGTTTTTTTTTTTTTTTTAAGCAGTTTCCTTGCTTCAACCCCAGAATTAGATATTTCTCAAATGAACTTTGATATCTCTTATTGGAGAATGGTATTTAAAAACCAAGATCAGGGCACTGGGTATGCTTGTTGATACTGAATTATCACTGCTTGTATGCCCTCTCAGTAGAGAGAGCTAGGAATTATATGGATGTATTAACTGATATATACATACGTATCTATGGTTATTTCTGTATATATGAATCTTTATCTATTGTCTGTCAGCTTTAGTGAGATTAATACATTATTTTCATGTAAAAAAAAAAAGAATAGTTAAACAAAAGAAAAGGCTAACGAGAAAGTTACTTAGGCAGCATGTCACCAGAGGTTTTGGCCATACAATTTGAGCATAAAGTGAAAAACACTAACTAGTAATAATAGTAAATACTTACTGACTGTTTACAATATGCCAGGCATTATCTAAAAGGTTTTCATGTAGCCTCTCATACAGTCTTTACAATAATCCTATGAGGGAATAACTCTAACATTTTCCCCACATTTCAGGTAAGTCAATGCCATACGGAAATATTAATGATTAGTAGCAGAACAGAGAGCAGAGAACAATTTGGGTGTTAAAAATATAATCTAGACCTGAAATGGGCTGTGGTCTAGATTGGAGCCAATGCAGCTAGCAAAGAGGAAAGGGAAGGAAATTAACATATTGATCTTTTCTCTGTGCCAGGCAGGACTATAGGTGTTTTTCACATAATTTCATTAATGAAACAAGTTTTGGAAATATGAAAGAAGAATCAACATGCCTTAATTACTGTATGGACCAGGAAACCAAGGACAGAGTGAAAAGAGTTACTCCTAGTTTCAAGATTGAATGAAACTGAAAGAAACAAAAAAAATGAGGAACTGCATCTAGTTTTAGATGGGAAAGGATATGTCAGACTTTGGGGTTATTAATTTGAGATGTCAAAGGAATAATATGTCTAACTGGAAATGTCCAATAATTAACTAAAACCCACTAATTAAAGGCAGAAATGAAAACAGTTATTTCTGCCACAGTGACAATTCAAACTGTAAGAGTTTGTAAGCTCTCTAAAGGAGGATGCAGAGGGAACAGAAATCTAAGTAAAGTGGTATAAAATTATCCTTGAAACCTATTTTGCCTGGAGTTCATATAAATAAAAACTTTCACTGGTTTTGTTACCATACCAAATTATCAGTCTATGAAATACAACCTATGGAGCAGAATAGACAGTAATATTCTATTTTCTCCAAATCTACAACAGGTAAGCTTGAAATAACCTCGAAGTATTTTGAATGGAAGAAACTCTGATAGTGCAGTGTTTAAGCACTCAGTTGCTAACCAAAAGGTTGGAAGTTCAAACCCACCAGCTGCTCCAAAGTAGAAAGAGAGGCAGTCTGCTTCTGTAAAACTGACAACCTTGGAAACCCTATGGGGCACTTGTACTATGTGCTAAAGGGTCACTATGAGTCAGAATCAACTCAATGGCAGTGTGTTTGGGTTTTGGTTTGGATCCTGAATGGAGATCTTTAAGATCTTAGAATGCTCAAGATATTTGTACCTCTTGGTATTAGCTTTATCAAATTATTTATTTTTTATCAAATCAAATATGCAATGCAAAAATCTAAAAGGAGTGTATTTGACTCTTAGGCAACAGAGTGTGTAACAATTTCAGTACCCTTTAAATTCTAGTATATAAAATGTAATATTTGGTATTTGAATATAACCTTGGATTGCAAGAGCAAACTGGATGTAGATAAAACCAATCTGGCCATGAGTTGATTATTTTTGAAGCATGGTGATGTATACATAGGAGCTCATGATACTATTTTCTTTACTTCTATATATGTTTGAAATTTTTCAAAACAAAACGTTTAAAATCAGCATGATTAATTTCCTAATTTTGCAGATTAAGAAAATGAGCATTAGAGCACTTAAGTGATATGTCTAAGATTAAATTCTTGGTTAGTAGATACAATAAACTGTAACTCATTTCTATCATACTAAAACTGCAAAGCATGCTCTAGAAATAAAGAAAATGGAAACAAAAGCGAAAAAGAAAGACACTCAATTTAAAGAGCTTGACTACATAAATCTTTGTGCAGACTTAGAATTAAAAAAAAAATAATAATAAAGACTAAATCCTCACCACTCCTATGCCTTCAAAAGCAAACACAGCAGTACCAAAAAAGAGTGGGTATTTCTTCCAACCAGCCACGACTGGAAGGTTGTGAGGATCTGGCATATTCTGGAGAAAGAAGGAAAAAAATAAGACAAGTTACATCTTTTATCTATTTTAAAAAACTTAGAATTAAAGAGTAAAATCATATATTTCTGAATTTTACAACAGTTTCACAATATGTGTTATAAAGAAAATATTTCTTTAAATATACATTGTATCCTATGCTAAATGTAGCCAAGCTGTTAGGAATTCACTACCAAAAGCAATTGTATCTGTCATAATTATACATTCCATCTGAGCCACATGCTCTGGATTACCTGTTTCCACCTTCAAGGCCCACCCAGGCTGTTCACACTGGGTATTGTTCCTGCCACAACAGGAAATACATAAACATAAAGATCTGAGATGAGAGCCATGTCATCAGAAATGAAGACTTACACTGCTGTTCGTGTCCAATAGGAATTCATCCTCCACTCTACTTGAACTGCTCTGTCACTCCTTTAAGATATCTGCTTCCTCACTTTGGCTTTCTACCTCACGGCTCTGTGCGGCTCCTTACTACAAGTGACTTCTGGTTTCAGTGTTTCACTCTTTGACCTAACAGCTGTCTTTATCCTTATTATTTATGAATACATGTCTTGGCTCTAGTTTTGATTACTTGGTTCTGACTCATAGCCTTGTTTCCACTCTCACTAGCTAGACAAACTCTCAACACTGTACATCTAATTCAAGATCTCTGGTTCCACAATGGCCACTTTTTCCAGCTACCCCCAAGTCTGGTCCCTACTTTCCTCACTATGCTACATTCTTTGCCTCATCTGCTTGAGAGTGAAATTCAAGGCCAAATAAATAGCAGGAACAACACAACTGAAGTGTAAACACAAATGGATAATCTGGGGAGTAGAGAGGTCTAGACCATGTGACATACAGGTAAATGGTGGGATATTAAGAGTTACACATAACTAAAAATATAAGCTAGGGTTAGCCTGCAAAGGTTATTAAAGTATTTGGATCATTCAATAATGAATGTTGTTGATAGGTGTTGTCAAATCAATTCCCACTCATAACAACCCAACTTGATGGAGCAGAACTGCCCTGCAGAGTTTTCTAGGCTTTAACCTTTATGTAATCTTTAAAGTGTTAAGAAGCAAGGATGTCACTTTGAAGGCTAAAGTGCACCTAATCCAAGCCATGGTACTTTCAATCACCTCATATGCATGTGAAAGCTGGACAATGAATAAGGAACACTGAAGAAGAGTTTTTCAAGAGCCTTTGAACTATGGTGTTGGTGAGGAATATTTAAAATACTATGGACTGCCAGAGAACGAACAAATGTGTACTGGAGAAAGTGCAGCTGGGATGCTCCTTGGAAACAAGAATGGCCAGGCTTCATCTAGCACCTACTTTAGTCCTGTTGTCAGAAGGGACCAGTCACTGGAGAAGGATATCATGCTTGATAAAGTAGAAGGTCAGAGAAAAAGGGGAAGACCTTCGAAGAAATGGATTGACACAGTGTCTGCCATGATGGGCTCAAGTATACCAAGGATTGTGAGGATGGTATATGACTGGGCAGTGTTACATATGGGGCATATAGGGCAGCTATGAGTCAGAGCCAACTCGATGGCACCTAACAACAACAACCATCTTTACAGGAGCAGATCACCAGGTCTTTTCTCCCACAGAACTGCTCAATGGGTTCAAACTGTCAACCTTTTGGTTAGCAGCCGAGTTGTTAACTGTTGCACCACCAGGGCTCCTTCTCAATAACACTCAACTGTTACTCAAGGTAAGCAGCAGGATGGTATTTCACTTCCTCTTACAAAGTTATGAAAACTTGTTTCTTCTACCTGGAAACTTCCTTTTCTGCTCCACTACCTCACATGTTCAGCTAAGGTGTCGTGAACTCCAGAAATGCCTTATTTGATCATCCTGCCTGGTCCCTTTCCACTCTGATTAGCTAAGTAACCTTTCTGCCTATATGTTTCCAGAATCTCCCCTCACCTCTAGCACTACTATATCCTTTCAGTGAATTAAAAGTTAACTGTGTCTATGTTATCCTCTTGCTCCCCTCCTCGAACATAAGGACCCATATATTATTCACCTTTCTATCTCTGGCACAGAGCAGGCCCTCAGTAAGTATTTTCTGAACTTTTTACATCATTCTGTAATTGGTGTCAACAGGCACACAAGCAGAGAATGAAGACAAAGTCACTGGTCAAAGGATCATATGGTAGAGATATAGGAGCCAAGACTAGAAAAAGAGTGGATGAATTCAGAGAGGAAGATAGAAAATGAAAATAAAGATGGAACTGATAGAACTTGGAATCTCAGAATTTTTTAAATTATGAAAACCGGATTAAAGTTGGATAACTTCAAAAAATTGCTATAAACATGAGCCAACTTAAAAGAACTCTTAGTAACTAAACTTGGGACAGTTTGAGCACAAACTTAGTAATGAATATAGTGGATTATAATTCACATAACAAAAAAAAATCCATGAGTTCATACTGATATAAATAAATCACTGAATAAATTAATAAATAAGGAGGAACAATAGGAAAATAATCTGTATAAAAATACTTACTAGATATACTAAAGAATAGATATTTAATACCAAGGGATTTCTGTTATTTAAATTTGCCTTACCAGTTAACAGTGAGTTGACAATGAAGTCAAATAAAAAAAAAAAAAAAAACACTAATATTGAATGCTTACTATAACAATCAATTGACTATTAATCCAGAAATGAAGAAAAAAACATCCTTTGACATAACTCAACTGACAGAAATATTAAAGTGACTTTTTAAAAACAAGATTTAAGGGTCCTTTACATTTAACTGTTATCATCATTTATAATTGAAAATTAAGAATGAATATCCTTAGTAACTTTTTATATTAACAAAGCACAAACTAAGAAAATTACTCAAAACAATAATGATAACCTAGTGGAATATAATAATAAAGATTACCAGATTATTTCACTCTATCTTAATACCCGTCAATGCAGGTTATTTTACCGAATTAATTACATTTGTTAGGATGTTAAACTATTATATTTACATACTCTATATGATTGATGTATGTAATTTAAATGAATGAAAATGTTTTGTTTCATATTTTTAAAGTATTAAATTCAAACGTCATTTTATTTTTACTTCAACCCAACAAATGTACTTAAAATGAATCATCCTAAAAATATAATAATCATAGACAAATACTGAATCTCTACTACATATAAAGCAGAAAACAGGTATTACTACCTCTATCAAAGATATTATAATTCAATAGAGAAGATGATGATTATATAACAACATAGGAGCTGCAGTAGGAGCAATCTAAAAAAAAAAACTCACTGCAGTGGAGTCAGATCCAACTCACAGCAACCCTTCCTTGGGTTTCCGAGTAGATTGCCCAACCTTCCTTCCGAGGAGTGGCTGGTGGGTTTGAAACGCCAGCCTTCTGGTTAGCGGTCACATGCCTTTAGGCACTATGCCACCAGACCTCCCAGCAGGAGCGATAGTAAACCAAAAATCAAACTCACTGTCATTGAGTTGATTCTGACTCATAGTGACCCCCTTGGGTTTCTGAGGTGGTAGATCTTTACGGAGGTAGACTGCCCTGTCGTCCTTCCACAGAGTGGTTGGTGGGTTTGAACCACCAGCCTCCTTGTTAGCAGTCAAATGCCTTAGGCACTATGCCACCAGAGCTCATTTGTAGCAACAGTAGTGGTTAACATTTTTGAGAATTGAAGATGCACTGAATTATTCACATACTATAGGGAAAAAAAGTCTTAATGGAACAAAGGAGCTCTGGTGCCACAGTGCCTAGGGCATTTTACTGCTAACCAGAAGGTTAGCAGTTCAAACCCACCAGCTGCTCAGAGGAAGGAAGATGGGGCAATATACTTCCATAAAGATTTAAACTCAATGGGGGTTGCTATGAATTGGAATTGACTTGATGGCACTTAAGTATGGTTTTAGTATGGAACAAGGGAAAACTAGAAGCAGAGACATTCTTCAGAGATACCTGGACACTCCCCACACCAGCAATGTGACCTTACTGATGCTGAGCTTGGTTTAATAGCCAGAAGACTTAATGTTTACAAATATTCCTCTAAATAAAATGTGGATAACATAATGGAGATTCTTCCAGAATGGTGATTCCCAAGCACTATACAGAGCAAAAATCCAATTGTTTCTCAACTCTGACAAGACCCTACCTATTTAAAAACTGTCACTAGTACACTTACAGAGAGCCACAGTTATTCCTGCTCTGTTTGAAAGGACTTCCCTAAAGATTCTGTATTTTTGTCTTAAAGAAGAAAATATCAAAATTTTCTAATTCACACTGTGAAGAAAAAATTTTCCCACAATCCACAATCCACTGGAAACGTTATATATCCCTTCTTTTATTGAATCCTCATGACAAATGTGTGAGTTGGGTATAAATAAAAGCCACTGCCATCTAGCTGACTGCAAATCACAGCGACCACTTAAGGTTTCCAAAGCTATAAATCTTCTCAGAAGCAGACTGCCTAATCTTTCTCTCACAGAACAGCTGGTGGGTTCGAACCACTGACCTTCTGGTTAGCAGCCGAATGCCTTAACCACAGCACCATCAGAGCTCCTTTGGGTATTAATAATGAGTTAGTATTATCTTTGTTTTATAGATGAGTAAATTGAAACTTTAGAGAGATTATGTAAAATGCCCAAGGGAAAAAGCTAGTAAGTGACGGTGCTAGTATTGAAATCTAAGTACATCTGACTACAGTTACCCATTCTTCTAAAAAAAAAAAAAAAAGTACTGTAAGAGAAAGACTTCGAAATTCAGAGAGGGAGAAGAAACGAATCACAGGTCCACCATAAGAGAGTCTGTAATAAATTGCTAATGGAGACTTTAGAACAATTACTTGGGCAGCAGCATATAAAATGGATTGGATCAGGAGAGAATTGAATAGGGATTCTCAGCCTTTTTTTGGTCACTGGCCCCTTGGAGGGATGAAAACTATACTGCTGTTCAGCCAGGGGAAAAAATGCATATATACATAGAGAAATGTCAAACCTTGAAAACAATTTCAATGGATCTACGGATTCCCTGAAGCTCATCAACAGATTCTTCTAAGGATACTGGGTTAAGAACCCATAGACTATGGACAATGAAATCAGTTGAGGTTCCTACATACTTCAAATAAGGAGATTACAAACTGTGTAGTGGCAGTGGGTTAAAGCTGCGGCAGCAAATAAAGGATAAACCAAACCAAACCAAATTCAATGCCGTCAAGTCAGATCCGACTCATAGCAACCCCTCCTTGGGTTTCTGAGGCAGTGTCACTACAGGAGTAAATTGCCCAACCTTCCTTCTGAGGAGTGGCTGGTGGGTGTGAACTGCTAGGCTTCTGGTTAGCAGTCAAGTGCCTTAAGCACTACACTGCTAGAGCTCCTCGATAAACGATACAAAAGTGAAATAAAATTACAGAATTATACCTATTGCACCCACCTCTTGTGAATGGTTCAAATCTTAAAGAAATAAAACATGTAATGAGTTCATTATTTCATGTTAGGCATTGTACTACGAGCACAATCCTAAATCTCACAACTACAGTAAGGACATACTACTATTTTCTGAAGCATTATCACAAAGCCCAAAACTATATTTACCAAGATTCAAAGCCAGATCTAACTTCAAAGCCTCGTCATATACTCTCTTCCAGTTAAGCAGTATCTCCCAAAAGGAAAGTAACAGTTACTGATTCATCTACTATGAGTCATATATAAAGTAGAAGTCTTTAACATAGCATTATTTTTACCTCCAAAGCAAACAAAATTTTACTAATATAAGATACATATGACTCTTAGTTCAAATCCTGTTATACTTACCCTAATGATGTATTGGTAAATTATCACAAGACTGACAGCCATGGAAATGTTGGCAAGAAATGAAAGTACAAATAGATTCTTTAGCTCACGGATGAAGACCAAAAGAATTATAAATGGAAGAAAGCAAAGCATATATATCCTTAGGTCAACACTTCTTCTCTCACATGAATTTGATGCATTGGTACTGTTTGAAACAAACACTTTACTCTCCAAAAATCCTTCATGAACCTATATCAGAAAAGTGGGAGAGTAAGCAAGAAGGAAACAAAATTCTATCAAGTTACAAAGAATATTATGATCTACAGATGGTATGATAACTTCCTATGACATATTTTGCAATCAAAATAAAATATTTATATTTCCTAAAATTTTTTGTCTTCCCTAGAAACATATACATCAAATTTAAGATAATTAAAATATGATAATGTTCTTTGAAAAACAACTTATTTTATGCTGTGAAAATAAAGTTCATTAGAAAAAATATGAGGATGGATTTACTAGTTTATTTTTAAGTTTTATGACTATCCATCAAGTTCATTATCCCTGCAAAGACTCAATATGCTTTTGAAATCATAAAAATTGGGAGCATATTTATCTAGAGTGGCAATTAGGTATTCTGCTTTAACTTATTTTCTTCAGAGCAAGAAGTAATTTTTAAGTACCTATTAAGCACCAGAGCTCTGGTGGCATAGTGCCTAAGGCTAACCAGAAGGCTGGTGGTACAAACCCATCAGTCACTCCTAGCAAGGAAGGTTGGGCAATCTACTTCTGTAGTGATACCGCCTTGGAAACCCAAGGATGGGTCGCTACGAGTCAGATCCAACTCGATGTCAGTGAGTTTGGGATTTTTTTTTTTTTTTACTATATTCTAAATAAAATGTAAAAACCATACCCTGGCTTTAAATGTGTTTTATAGAGCGATTTTTAAATATATTTTCATCACAAGCAATAAGTATTTATTAAGAATCCACTAAGTTCATGCATGGTTACATGCTAAACAGTAGACGAATTTTTGCTAGAGCAAAAAAATCTTGCAAGATTAATCAATTTTACCTTAAGACTTATTTAGCCACTTTTATACCCAATTTTCAATTTTCAAAAGAGATATAATGACTCCTAGGTGCCATATAATTAAAAAGTATCTATGACTTAATTAGCAATGTAATCCAGTTTATGTAAATAGAAATGAAATTAGAGAGGACATTGGAAACAATTTTAAAAACCTGCAACAGAGGCAAATCACACAATAAAACTGAATACCAGTGAAAACCGATTTTTCCCTAAACACTCTTTTAAATATACTGACATTAATGTTCTGGACCCATAAATTCCTAAGAACCAAACCCTATAATAATAACAGCTAGCATTTTTTTTCTTTTTTTTGTTAGCACTTTCTATGTGCTAGATACTTCCTTATATGCAACATTTCACTTAATACTAAAAACAACTCTCTGAGGTAGGTAGCAGCATTAATTTCAATTTATATTTGAGGAAACTGAGACTTAAGAGAGAGTAATTAATTTGCACAATATCAATCCAGTAAGTGGTGCTTCTAGTATTCAAACCTAAGTCTGAGACTACAGAATCTAGCTTATAACAGCTACATATTAATCCTGAAAGGAGGACCTTCTCCAAGTAGTCACTGGCCTCCTCTTTGACATCTCTCTAAATATATAAAATGTAAGTATCAAGAGGCCAACAAATCAGAAGTTTAAAACAAAATTCTGTTATGCTTAACAATTCAAGTGTTTCCTATACTTTAATTTTACACTTAAAATCTAAAGTAAGAAATATTAGTGTCACTGCAAATGCATACATCATCTTGGGCTGCAGGCAATGTATCTACCAGAGCTTTAAGGCTATACAGGAAATTTATAATTCATACTGGACTAACAAACTGTCAAGCTACACCGCATATCATTGAAAAAATATATAGCTCACATTTATCTTATAACTGGCCATCAAAATTTTAAGTTCTATCTTTTATATTTTGAAATGGAAACAAAACTGATAATTCACATTTCTTGACTTTTAAGGACATGTTTCATTTGTTGACTCAATTTGTCAGTAACCAAACTATTTTGAGCTAAGAACTTCTGATCAAAGCAGTACCTACCAATAATTAAATTAGATAATGATCAAAGATGAACTCTAACAAGGATAACTGGCAAGAAGAGATATAATTACATAATCAATTTAAAAATTAGCTGAATTGTCAAGTGCTTGGGAATTCAATAGTAATTCTATCACAAATATTTCATAATATTTTAGCATTCCTTGACAGAAAGATGCTTATAAAAATTCTCAGGATTAAAAAGTAAAATAAAATAAAAATGTAGATACATACCTAGAGCAAGATTCAGGTAAACATTTGAGTCCTTTGGTGCCCTCTAGAGACAGAGAGTGGCTATCTAATAGGACTTCCTATGATCTCACATGTTTACCAAAATGTAAAACACTGAAATAAATATTATAAAATAAAATTACTAAATTCAGTTGTTTCCACTTAGAGCTCAAACTTACTAAAATCCACTACTTATTTACTTTTCAATGATTCAACTTAATGATTATAATCCCAAAGGCAGATTATGTTCTTTAGCAACGCTAAATACAAAATTAAAGTTGTAGTATACTGTTTTACATTTTACACATGTTTTCACAAACTTTTGGTCAGCTGAGCCCTATATTACGTTAACAATGAATGAGGGGGGATTTTGTTATTATTCCCATTTTACAAATAAGGAAACTGAGGCTTGACCAGAGTTAAGGGGGTCTTGCCCAATGTTTACGTTAAAACTGACATAGCTTGGATTTAAACTCAGATCTGCTGACTCTAAGTCCATGGTCTTTGATGTCACTACATTTTTTTCCTTTAAGTGAAACATCCCTTCCCCACAACCATATACACTATCTTATCTAGCTGCAATTTTCTAGAGTATCTTAGAGTAAGAACAAAGAGAGGAGTTACTAGAAACAAGATCTACTAGAACCACAAGGAAGAAGCATTAGGTTCTATTTCCTCTAATACTTGCGCATAATGGCTTAATGAGACCAAAAAACAACATGTGGTAGCTATACAGCAGAAAGTTTCCACATTTGCATGGCAACTACATTTTTAATTCTTTGGGTTGATGAAAACACTGCATCTTCAATTTCATGCAGATTAACGTTGTAACTTTTTAAACTATAGCAGTAGTAGTATTTGGTGGTAACTGGTATATTTAATCAACTAGCTGTCTACTATTATATACTACTATCAAATACAAAAGAACACATTTGTAGAGAGGGTGACAATCTCTGATCTCACACAGCTTCAGTGACTATCTGGTCTTCCATGCGCAGGTGATGTTTTCACCCTTGCTTTCTATTTTCTTAAACCTGAACTGCATGTCTTTTTCTATGGTAAATATAATGCCTCAAAAGGCAAAGGAAATTCACTTTATTAGCTACTGGGGATGGAAAGGAAGAGGAGGGAAAATTTCAGACTAGTTGGGGGGCACACTTTGATTTGGGTGATGGGAGGGGTGGTATGGAAAGAGTCTGTGACCAGCATGGTGACAACAGGGAAAGGGAGGACACAGAAATGTGCATAAAAGATACAGACAGTAGAGGCAAATACTACTACATGCACACTTTGTATTACTACTAACACCAAACATCAGGCTACAGATTAATGCATACATAGACAAGTGAGAAGATCAGGTGGTGGTCAGAGAATAGGAATATACCCCAGACCAAGGACAGGTTTAGCTGAAGATAATCTTACATATGCTCTTGTACTACAAAATCAGACACACACATTACAGAAGCAACAGAAGACAGAATTGGAGTAACCTCTCAAAGACAACCACATACTTTGGAGAGAGAATCACTGGGACTGGCACCTCCGAACCATAGTCTTGGGGGACACCAAGCTCAACTGGCACAACAAAGTACATAAAAATCTTGTTCCACAACCTACTTTGGTGAGTAGTGACTGGGGTGTTAAAAGCTTTTGGGTGGCCATCTAAGATGCAACTACTGGTATCCTCTCATCTGAGAGCAAAGAAGAGTGAAGAATATCAAAGGCATCTGAAAACGATTAGTCCAAGGATATGATGGAACTCAAAACCAGAAGAACTAGATGGTACCCAGCTACCAATGCCAACCACTTGGGAAGGGATCAAAACTGGAGATCCTGGATAAAGTGGGAGAAAAAATGTGGAACAAAATTAAAAAACACAAAAATGACCAGAATTACTGGTCAGATGGAGTCTGGTGGAACCCCCAAGACTATGGCCCAAGGTTACACTTCAGGCCTAGAATTGGGCTCACTCCCAAGGACTGGCTCTCAGGCCAACAGTAGAAAGATGTACATGAAGGACACCTGCCCTAGGGTGAGGCACCCACCTACTCTAGGGAGATACACCCCTTAGAGCAATTGGCCATGGGGCACCAGAGAGGCAGTATTCTCATAGAGGAATGCTTTTTCCTTTACCAGAGGGAAAGCTGGACAGACAGGAGTGCATAGTTAAGAAGGGCATAGGGAGGAGGTTAGTAGCTACAGGAAGGGACGGGAGGAAAGTCTATTATAGTTGGGGATGGTAATCAGGGCATGAAATCAAATGTACACAAACTGTCAAATGTAAAACAAATTTTGCTCTGTAAATTTGCACCTGCCAGAGAGTCACCTTTTCTACTTGATCTTCTCAGGATATGTGCACAAATAAGTTAAACTTTTCCTTTTAACTTCATAAGTGACTTAATATTTCATAGGAAAAGTCACCAACGCTAAGCTGATATACTTTTTGCCTTATTTTATCTTCTTTGTATGTAACACATACACACACACAACTAAAATAAGGCAATATCCTGTTTAGGGATGATGTGTCAGAGATATAGGTTTCAGCTCAATTCTACATGACTTAGGAAAACACATGACTGATGCTTTGTGAGACTGCTTCCTCATTCACAAAATGAGCACAGTATTTACTACACAGAGTAGTTGTAAAGATTAAATTATATATGTCATACCTACATAAATATAAGATTATTTGGCATTATTAGAATCATTTATAAATTCAGGGGTTTATTGGCAATAATCTTAGAAGAAAAAAAAAGACATATTATCAGGTTGTATAACTCCTGAAAGGCATCACTCCCATTGAATTCTATGTAAATGACTTATAAGATGCTATGTCTTATCTTTTGCCTCTTAACTGAGGTAGGCAGGAGTCCTAGGAACATCCTACTTGTGGGACTGGACACATTTGTAGTGTCAGAACATATCATCTGTAATGATAAAACACTGATTTCAGTGTTTTGTTTGTTTGTTCAAATAGGCTGTCAGTCTCTACCAAGGTGGCATCTGTAATGGATAATGCTCATACAAGCAGAGAAGCTTTACTTTGATAAACAAAAAAGCATAAGGAGGACTCTAACTCTAATTGCTCATTGTTCTTCCTTTTCTATCTCTTCTGCTTCTCTCATCTCCCCTTACTCTCACTAATGTCCTTAGCTGTAATCCATAGTGACCCTGTTTGAGGGAACACCCATATCTAAAGGAATGGAAATGGTTTATAGATTTTTCTTTCAGAAAAACTTATATAAGAATTTGTTTCCAAGCATCTAGGAAAAAAGAGAGAAGGAAAAATAGTTTGGAGGTAGGATATTTGAAAAAAGAAATAAAATCAGGCCAAATGATAAACTAAAAAATTTGAGGCTTTCAGATTCAGAAAACATCTAAAAGTGCCCTGGCTGGAAATGTCACCAACCCAATCTACTGACACCATACTTTTTATGAAGTAAGGAGAAACAGCTATGGGTGTGAGAAACCAAGCTAAAACAATCATGTAGGGGCTTACAGACTAGAGAGAGAAAATGGGAGGAAAAAAGTGTTTGGACAAAGAGGGAGCAACAAGGAAAGTGGTAGAAGGGAAATGGAAGGGTTAAATCCATTCAGACAACAAAAGTTATTATGCATCTGATCAATAAACCAGGTATAGTACTAGGTCTAAAAACTAAAGAGATTAAAAAGAAATAATCCCTCTCAGTCTAGTGGATTCATTTCCCTTCCAATTTAATAACACACTGAGTACCTGTAACATGCCAGGTACTCTTAGATGCTTAATGATCACAACAGATATTGTCACTTCCCTCATAGGGCTTACAGTCCAGTGGTGAAAATTAAGTTGTAAATTAATGTTAACCAAGTATGAACAAGGCTATTTTAAAAAAATGCTTCAGAAGAAGAATCAAGAGGTGTGGCAAAAGATGAGGAAAGGAAAGAGGTGGGAGGGAGAGCTGAAGAAGGTTTCACAGAGCAGATGACATTGAAACTGAGGCCTGGACTTATCCAGATACAAACAAAACTTTTCCAGATGATGGTGCTAAGGGAACAGACATAGCACATTGGAAAGAATACGAAGCAGAAATCCAAGCTCTGATTACTAAGTAGCTATGACCCTTTAAGAGAACTCTGTAATTTATAAAAGAAGGTTTAACTAAATGAGCTCTTCAAATATTGAAAATCTAAGCTAGTGGCTCAAATACAACATACAGGGATAGTCTAAACTATGTCTTAGAAGCCACATCCAGCCTACCACTTATTTTTGCAATAAATTTTATTGGAATACAGCTATGTCCATTCATTTATGTATTGTCAATGGATAAGTTAAGTAGTTGCATCAGAGACCACAAGGCCTGCAAAGCTGAATATACTTATTATTTGGCCCTTTATAGAAAAAGATTTGTCAATTCTTGGTCTAAATATAAACTGAGTCATATTTTACACTTAGAAAAAAGAGACAAATATA